AAACTGATGAAGGTGTAGATTTCGCTCCCACTGCCTTCCAGAACCTCCTCTACCAAGCCGCAGGCGACCAGGGAACCCTCCCCTTCGCAGGCCGCCAGCGCTCGATCAACAGTATCGTCCTCCTCAGCAATGGCATCTCCTTCGCCATCCAGGTCGTCGTCTTCCTGGTGATAGGCAGCTTCGCCGACTTCGGGACCTGGCGGCCTAACATCCTGATCGTCTTGTCAGTTATCGCCTACGCCATCGGCTTCGGCTGGTTGGGCGTCCACACGCAAGAGAAGTGGCACATCGCGGTGGGATTGTACATTGTAGGACTGATCGCGTATCAGACGACACTGACGTTCTGGACGGCTGCGTTTCCGGGTCTGGCGCGGAATACGGCCGAGATGAAGGATCGCGCAGATGCGTATGCGGCCGGTAGGATCTCGCGGGAGGAGTACGACGATGCGGACACGATGGCGCGCAGCAGGCTGGCCAATGTAGCGTTCTATGTGCAGTCTGTGGCGGAGATTGTGATCCTCGCTGTCATCGTGGGGATCATGTTTGGGCTGAGGGTGGATGAGAGCCAGGCGAATAATAACTGGGGTTTGAGTGTGCTGATTGCATTCGCCTCGGGGGTGTGGCTGCTCGTCTCGCTGCCGTGGTTTGTTCTCGAGAAACGACGGCCGGGGCAGGACCCCGGACGGAACATTATCCTTGCGGGATTGAGGCAGCTATACCATGCTGGAAGGGAGGTGTGGAAACTCAAGCAGAGTCTGCTGTATCTTATAGGTAAGGTCATGTGCTGTGTCAGGATTTCCCTCATGGTAAGCTGACCAGCACCCTCCTGCAGGATATTTCCTCCTCGGCGACTCACTCAATACAACAGTCACGGTGATTGCGACATTGCAGAATAGCATCGTCGCATACAACACACTGGAACTGACATATCTCCTGATCGTAGGCATAGCAGCACAGGTAGGTCTTCTGTTCCCAAGACCCGCTCTCGCTAACACCTTGATCTCTCCAGGCACTTGGCATTTACGCCTTTTGGTTTATCCAGCGGCGCTACCACCTCGGCACAAAGACCATGTTCAACGCTATCGCAGTGGGAATCATCCTGCTTGACGGATGGGGGATGATCGGCATCTGGACGCAGCGATTCGGTTTCCACCATGCTTGGGAGATTTGGGTAAGTGTTCAGCCCAACGCAGCCAGCTAGATAGAGTCTCCTCGCGCCTGCTAACAAGCACACAACAGCTCTACCAAGCCTTCTATGGCCTTTTCGTCTGCCCCTGGTACAGCTACTCCCAGATCATGATCTCGGAGGTCACGCCGCGCGGCCACGAGTTTCTGTTTTTCAGTTTGTTCAGCATCATCGGCAAGACGTCCTCGTTCATTGGGCCGCTGGTCTCCAGTGCGATCATCGATGCCTCGCCTTCGGGGAATGTGTCGACACCGTTTTATTTTCTGTTCGCTTTGAGCGTGGTGAGTTTTGTGATTTTGGTGCTTGGGGTTGACCTGGAGAAGAGTCGGAGAGAGCAGGAGGTTTTCCTGAGAGAGAAGGGTAGGATGCTTGCTTCAGAGAGTTCAGTCAACATGTGATGTAGATTATGGCGCCAGTAGTAACTTCAACGAAGACGAACTAGATTGCAAGTCTCACTGTGGAATTCCCATGTCAGTTGGTATACATACATAAATTGAACATCGACGTGACTTTTCCCTCCTTGGTAAGTGTAAACGCAGTATAAACACAAGTATAAACAAATTAAGAATAACTCCAACCCATGCTATGCCTAAGCGCCTTATATTTGAAGAGCAAACAGACGAAAAAAGACAGCGGAAGCTGAATGTGAACGTCGCAGGAAACACAGAAGGCAGTTGTGGTACGAATGCCTCTATGCTTCGCCGTCCGAAGAAGCGTCCTTCGACTTGCTCTTCTTTTTCTTCTTCTTTTCCTTCTTCTCGGAGCCGTCGTCGGGCTCTGCCTCGGCCTCGCGCTTCCGCTTCTTCTTCTCTTTCTTCTCCTTCTTTTTCTCCTCGGCCTCTAGCTCCTCGGGGGGAACAAACGACTTGGCGCGCTCCTTCATCTTCTCCTCGCGCTTCTGGCGCTGCCGCTCCATAACCTCCTCCTTCTGGGCGCGCTCCTTGGCCTCCTTGGACAGGAAGTACTCGCCGGACTCGATCTGCAGATCCACCTTGCTCTTTTCCGGCGCCGGCGGGAACGGTGTGTACACCTTCTTCGATTTGTCCGTGACCTTGTAGGGAACGCGGCGCTTCGACAACGTACGCTTCTTGAAGTTGGGCAGGAACCGGTCCCAGGATTCGTTGGCGAGCGTGGGGTCCTTGGCCAGCTCGCGCTTGATCATGAGCTCCTTAATGTGGTAGATCGGGTGGATGTTGGCCATGCAGTCGTTGACCACCCGGCGGACCTCCTTCAGCCCCTTGTACGGACCCATCGCCGCGACCGTATTACCCTGGACCAGGATGTAGGTGCTGGTGAGCAGCTCCAGCGCTTTCAGAGTGGAACCGGAGGGGCCGAGGAGCCGCTGTCGGCGCTTCACGAAGCGTTCCTTGTTGCGGACTTGGTTACGGATCTTGATGATGTCGCATGCGACACCGTCTTCGAGGATTTTCAGGGCCTGGACCATGGTCGTCAGTTGTGAGGCGGGGGGTTGGGGGCCACGTCACTGCGAAAACTCACCTGTTGAACGGGTACGCTTCTCGACAACAACTTGATCAGATCACGAGCCTTCAGAATGGCTGCAGGGTCGAAGGTTTTACGAGTAGTCTTCACAGTCATGCTACCCTCCACCAAGTCCAGCGTACAGGCGATTCCATGCTTCTCCAAAGCTCTCGTCACCACCGGCCAAGCTTCCTTCAGATATTGTTCGCGATACTTGGGAAATAGGGTCGCAAACGACGATTCTTCCGCAAAACTACCGGCGACATTGTCATCTGGCTTGAATTCTTCGATCTAGTTAAGTGATCGCACGTTAGAATCGAATAGAATGTCGCAAGATGAATCCTGAGAATACGTACCTTCCACTTATCGATGTCGTCCGTATCCCACGGCTTGTCCCTCTTGTATGTGGAAGGCATAATGAGGCCGAATTGCGTTGATTAACAGCAGATGCGTGCTGTCAAAAGATAATGATCGGTATTCAAGCTGGATCCAACTTTTTTTCTCCCCGCCCAGGAGCGCGGACACTTACCCCATTGGGATATTATTGTAGCCTTGGAATTCAGGCACCAGTAAGGCACCAAACGCCATAAGCGCCCAAACGCGCGATCACCAACGTGTACTCTCGACATGCTCGGTAGTCGAGCCATTTTGACTATGCGTTTCTTTTACTTGTCATAATTGCTGTCACTGTATCTCATTATTGTACATGAAGAGATGATTCTTGGATGCGCGTATGACAATTCAGCGTGCCTATGAAGTGTTGCGAAGATGGGTGCAATTTGATTCATTATATCCGTCACATTGTAATAAAACTAGCAGATTGATCCATCAAGCCACTTGGACACTGTTGTCTTGTTTCTCCTTCATCTGTAGAACATCGTCGTGATTTTCTCCTGACAAAAAAGAATCCTTGCCATTCCGGTAATATCCATCTCGCCCTCCTTCAGTACCATGCCGCCTCCATGACTCGGGCTCGTTGACTGGGCCTCTTATTTATTCCGGCTACGTTCAGTGACAACCAGAATATTCCGCATCGTTATTGACGGCCAATGATGTTACTTGGTTAGTAAAAGGGGCGGAGACTCGGAGCTGAAAAGACAATATGTCAGAACAGCCGCGGAGCGTTGAGTACCTGGACAGTTCACATTCAGTCTGTCAAGTTTCCGAGCTTGAAGGGTTCTCGAGCCCTAAGAGGGCATTAAAACTCTGAACCGCCAAACTGCCAATGCGGACACCACTGATGGAGATCTCCTCGGAGGGTTGATAGCAGACGTGGGGTTAGCATGATGTTATCCCAGACTTGATAGACAGATTCTTAAAAGTCCGAAGGCATTCAGCTATTCAATCGCATGTTGTAGAGAAAAGACAGAGAGAGGTGTTCGGTTATTATCTCGTCGTCTGGAATGCGAAACTCCATTCTCGCTCGCGGTCTGGTCCTGGGTAAGGTTAAATAGTCAGCGTCCCGTCAGTTTGGTTCTGGTTCCGGACCCGCGACGGTCCATCTTTCGAGCCCCTTCATTCAAGTCTTCCTCCTCTTTCTTCCTTACTCACTGCTCGCCTTTGAGTATCTATCGTTGCTTTCGCCACTGGTTGTTTATCGAAATCCATCTGCTTGGAGAGGCTGCTCAATCTTCAATATCTCCATGTCTTTCCAAAAATAGACCAAGCTCGCAATGGTAGATGCTCGGTTCTCGAGGATTGCACCCCAGCGCCTAATGAGCGGCACGTCGTACTCATAATGAAGGTCGCGCGGGCTGCTCTTCTGAAGATTCACAGGAAGTCCTCTCGAACGATGGGTTCAATGACGTATTGGGTAAAACGAACATTGATGACGAGCTATCGGGGCGTGTCAACACATGTCTTGGTATCTCCTGGAAGCTGATCATGCTACAGAACAGCAGAGTTAAAGCCACTGCTCGATTCTCAGCGTTAATTCTCAGTTCATAATGCTGCAAACTCAATGCTGTCGAACAAAACCAGATGCTAACCAGTGAGGTTGATATTCTGTCTCGCAGTCACAGAGTTCAGAAAGAAGTTGGGAGAGAGGCACTTGACTGACCGATTTCTGTCTCATTCATTTTCGGAGCTAGTATAAACCAAGATCTCTAATCGAATGACGGGCAAACATGATTCACTTTACGAATTCCAGGAATGAGTGAGCCTCGAAGTGAACCGAAACGTGAGCGGCCCGTCAGCTCTTGACATATAAGACAGAACGATCCATCGACCTTCTTTCCTCCTCAATTTTCAGAGCACCTATCCGGGCTTTCTTCCAATGCAAACGTACCTACCAGAACCATCAGAAGAGAGGCATAATCGGCCGATCCACTGTCACTTACAAGGGAAAGTACGCCTTCAGGCTCGCTGTTTCCGCCTCTCGTCGTGCTTGAGTAATGAGGTCCTGGAAATCTTGCTGAGGCATGCCGGAAATCTGAGTCAATGGATACAGTGCCAATGATGGAAGGAGATTATTGACATTCTCTCGATTGAGCATGCCGATTTGTTGCATTCTACGGTCTAGCACACCGGTTCAGCGGCCCGCGAACGAAACGGACAGTGAGAACTCACCATTGGACCACGCCGAAAGAGGAAGAGGAATCATTCTCGCGTCAATTTCTTCGAAACCTCCATCCCGAAGAAGAGTGTTCAACCGTGTTCCTACACGCAGATCCTTTGTTCCCTCGTATGACCTCATGAACTGTCTGCTCCATCGTCTCAGAGCATGTTCCTCGGTTATCGAACCGTTGTCCGATTGGACGTTGAAGTATATTTCGATCAACTGTACCCATCCGCCTGGCTTCAAGACTCTAAAGAATATGTCCAAGTCAGCCTTCGGCCATTTCTTGTGTAATTTGCCATAAGGCCGACAGCCCTGGCTTAACAGAGAGCGCACCTTCTGATGTCTGCGAGGTAGGACGGCCATCTGGCTCTGTTGATGCCAGTCGCAACGAGACTCGAGTGAACAAGGTCGAAATGGTTGGAGGGAAAGGTGAATCGACGGTTGAGGTCATCGACCTGATCATGAGATGTCAGTCTGGCTCTTTCCAGGAGCCCTGACCAGCCGAAGCCTGCAGCTATGCGTCCATCTCTGGATTGTTGGAAGACTCCGCTCACCTGTAACGATAGATTCTCGGGCATGTCATCCGGATTCTTATGCGGAGATATGTCAAGACCGATTACCTTGCTCAAGCCAAATTTGTCAGCCTCTGTGTGTGCAACGCGTTGAGTAAGACGATATTCACCCTGCAATCTGGATATTGCGTAGCCACATCGACTGCCCAAGAGCCAGCGCCATAACCGCAGTCGAGTACTCTGCGAAGTCGAGGGATCGGTGGAAAAATCAGTCGGCTGTCGAAGATCCTGACGAACACTCGATGCTGGAGGTCGAGGCGTTCTGCTTCTTCCTGATAATGAAGAACGGTCAGTGCTTGCACAATTTTGAAGACGGCAGGCGTACATCATCAACAGGCTCAAACGCTATCCGGTTATCGATGGAGAACTTGTGGAATTCTCGACCCTGAATCGTTACGGTGTGGAGGTATACTTCGTCCAATTCTTCTGTATCTGAACCAGGGCTCCTTGTTATGGAAGTGTCAGCACGCCCTCGCATTAATGTGGTCAAGGTGTATCGGAGGGAGTACGTCATGCCGTCTTTGTTTCTTCGACGTCGTTCGAGAGTCTGCTGTCCCAATATGTCTGGTTCAAAATGTTCGATGAGGGGCGGCGAAAGGCCTCCGATGCCGAGCGGGTATATAGGAGGAAAGCGAACGCGAAACAATGTCAGGGTAGGGACCTGTAACTGGTGGCGGTTGACGTGGTACAAGATACTATCGCGGAGCTCTTTCTGTTCGACTCAGACGAGAAAAAGAGCAGATCCCCTTCCCATGAAACGTCTTAGGAGCGTACTTTGCGGAACTCGAGGCTCTTACTAAATGCGCGGACGGTGGGAAAACCCGCTCTGCCCCAATCCTGCCCAGGGACAAAACAATGCTGTTGGCGAAAATTCAGTGGACGAAAACTCCTACAAAAGGACAAGCATCATCGCTGGATTGGTCTCTGAGCCATCCTACTACACTGCGACCTCAAGCTACGATAGTGTTCATTGTCGACAAGAGCGAGCCTGATTACTGTATTCGGACTAAGTCTGACCTCCAAGCAAATTGGCAGGAAAAGGAGGGGTCGGCGGTGTCTTCCAGAGGGGCCACTGGTGCCGACGAGATCAAATAGAGGAAGATCTCTAGGGTCTTCTCTGTGGCTTGGGCTGTTGGGTATTGAACCAAATCGATTATCGAGCTTCAAATGGTTACCTGACAGGTTGGCTCTGCGTCTAGGGACATTTGAAGGCTCCTGCAACCTATGTTCTAGATCTTGATGAAGAACGCCAGACTGATTCATTTCGTATGAGCGAGACCTTGGTGCTCCTACCACTTAGTTTTGTCTGTCTCAGTTGTTTTCGCTCGAGGATTCAACGCGACGGCTCGGACCAGCTAACGGATGCGCCTTCATGCAATGTATACAGTTACGCAATGGATCCCGATACCCACCAAAATGTCGATTACGCGACAGCCTGCATGCACTTAAATGGTATACAGAGGCTAAGCCGCCGAGAGGTTCCATCACTACAAAAGGACGAAGCGCTACAGTATTCAGCTTGGCTCCCAAAGAACTCAGCACACAGACAATGCAGGGACGCCGAACGTCTTCTGGACTAACGGGTTGTTGCATGAAAAGTCAACGCGCATGCAAGGTAATCCTCAATCATTAGAGAACCTTGTTTAATTTCAGCAATCATTGTCGTGGCGATCACATGATAAATTTCTCACTCATGCCTGCGTCTTGGTCCTGGTTGTGGGTTGAAAGATTTGCTCGTTTGACTTCAAGAATGCGAAGAGAGCTCAACGAAAGTAAACTAATGACTGTGTCGACGACCGAGCTTGGTGGGGATAAACTCTGAGTGGCTTAGGGCTCCTCATGTACGAAAATAGGAGGAAAGGAGATCAGCAATAATGCGCAGATGGTGCAAATGAAAATAACTACGCAGCACGCATTGCTTATAGGGCCTTATTCCCATAAGTGCTCATCCCTGAGAATATGAGCCACAAAGTATGGACTGCATGAACTATTCTTTTTACGACTCACTGTCTCTCATATTCATTCGTTTGTCCTGGCTCTCTCTGCAGCTACCACCTCGCCCCTTCACCGCTTCTTGCTGGTGTGTTAACAATCCTGACGACTACTTCAGCCAATGTGATTGGGTGACGAACAATACCGCGGATTAACAGGCATGCTTGGTCTGCAGCTCTTTTTAAGAGCGGGGCAATGACGTCCACTGGTCTTTGGGACAGTCAGAATCATAAGACGAGCAAATGGGCTTGCCTAAGTGAGAAGATGGTACCTGGAAAAGTCTTCTGAAACCGAATATGGCGCTGGACATCTCAGACTCCCTCCGGATCAAGTCATCCTAGCGCGTATGGATAGTATGAATTCGACGCAACCACTTACCGTGGGTTTTCCTTATGGGCGATCTACGGGCGCTATGCCCTCAGATTGAAAGGATCCAGGCTCTCGGGTCTCGCTCTCATTTTGAAACATAATGAGAGCTTCGAAGCCTGTCAGATCGATGATAGCAATTCCAGAACCATGGTTCACTGCTCGTGAAAAAAACGGCTACTGGGGCCATAACCCGCTGGCGTGTTTAGTGCAGCCGATGGTCCGACGTTACATACCTAGCTGCACTGGCCAGAGTACTCCGCACGGAGAACTGAATAAACTGAACCACCCGCCTCGTGCGCTGAAAGTCTTTTCTGTGTTGTCTGTGCACCTGTGTAGTCTTTAGAGCTCTTCCTCCTCTGCAGAGAACGAATTTTTCTTGCAGCCCTGGGAGACCTCTACCTTACGTTCTTCCAGCCTACACTGTGATATTGAGCGACCCGCAGTCGTGCAAGGATTTCCGGCTTGTAATTGCCAAAAACAGGAGGAAGTCGGGGCTCAGGTCTGATGAAAGTGTCCTTTACACTCGCCATTGTTCGCTGTGAAGGAACTATAAAAGCCCAGATGCACAGCCAAAATCCTGGTGGATGGAGAACACCGCTGCCAGCGTCGAATATGACCGATTTTGAAGCCGTCAACCCACAAAGGCAGTTCCTCTGTCTTTGAGGCATAGATGAGTAGATGCTCTGCGAGTCAAGCGCGCTTTCTTCCTAATGTCAGTGCATGGAGAACATTATCACCGGGCAGAGCATGGCGCGCTGTCCTTAGCCTGATCCACTGATTTTCTTACCAGCAAGACAGAGAACAAATGGAAGCATAGAGTCTGATTCTCGCTGACCTAGCTACACAGTTGACTTACAATGGGCTGGTGCGAACGTGACATGGACCGAATAATCCTCCATCCAATGGATGCGCCCAAGTATCAGCTACCAAAAGCTATATAGGTGTCAGGCTCTACTCCGTAGCCACCAATCAATCAAGACTCAGTCAACTAGGATGTCTTTGAGAGCATATGGATACCTTACGTTGTCTCCTTGACTTTCCAGGTCTACTTGACTTCTCCTGGAATCAACAAAGGAAGCCATAAACGCATCACACTTCAGAGAGTTGAACAATAGGGGTCACCTTGGCTAGGGATTCTTCTATCATAGGCCTTTTACTTCAAACAGAAACTTGGCCGAGGAAGAAGACGGTGACGCTCAGAGTCAGTCTCAGCCTGTTGGAGCTTCCTCTTCTTTATCTGGAACACCTGCCCCTGATCTAAATCTGGTGAGCCTCCCTTCATGACAGCAGATTTTCTTCATACAAGGGGAATAATCTTCAAATCTAACACAAGTCTCTGGTAGGTGACGTGGGATGGTCCCAATGACCTTGAGATTCCGAAAAACTGGCGTGCGAGTCAAAAATAGATGGTCTTCATTCCTATGTCCTTGTTCAATCTCTTGAGCTCAATGTCCCCTATGTGGTCTCAATCGCTGCCGCTGTTGTGCAGCTTGCCGCATTCTTCCTACTTCATGAGACATATGGGCCTATTCTATTGCAAAGGAAATGTGCTTAAATGCGTAAGACCACAGGAAACCTTAACCTCTACACTAAATACAACAGCATGTCCTCTACCACTTTGCTGCACAAGAACTTGATTTAACTATTCTATTTGCTGGCCACGCAGCCTATCATCTAGATACTAAGCCTGTATCTGGCTTATCTCAACAGCATCTTATACCTGATGGTGTCTACATTCCCAGACGTCTGGACGACAATATATCTTAAATCAGAATTAATTAGATCACTAAACTATCTTTCTCTCACAGTTAGAATGGCTATCATAATGCCGCTAGGGACTTGCATTGCCAACTATGTTTACTAATAACTGCGTGCTAATAATGGAAGGGTGGCTAGACCTAAATTTTGTAGGAGCTTGCATTATCCCTATTAGACTCTTCTGATATAGTTAGAGTGCCTAGCAAAGCATTCACTAGATCATGCCGTAAGTATTCCCTTATGGACAGTCAATCTATATAGGAGATTATTGCTGACCCCAAGAAGTAACATTAGTGCTGCTATTTACGCTGGTTCTACTATTGTACAGTTGGTTTATATCTAAGGCTATCTCATTAATATATACCAGCTTTTTGCCGTAAGTGCCATGGCCACTATCATGGTTCTACGAAGTCTATTGGGGTTTGCACTGCCCTTAATAGCCCCCAGTCTGTAGGTTATGACCTATTCCCAATGCAGTGTAAAAGCTTTATTAACATATGAAGATATACTACCCTTGGATTTACTTAGGGACACAGTCTACTAGCATTCATTACAGTCTTCATTGGAATTCCTTCAACACTGTTCCTATGCTTTTATAGTGAACAATTACGTGACAAGAGCACGTATGCAAGGGATACTTAACTGCTAATTCCCTTCTTCGATCGAAGTAATAGTCGCGATGGAGTGACCATGTATATTGGGCTACTTTTCCTTGCCGATGTGGCTCGTTACGCGGGCTTTCTTTTCTATAGATAAGTTTATTGATTTGCTTACTTATTCTATGACCTGCGTTGTCTGTAGCAAGAAATACAGCATGTCCCGTTTTCCCTACGGAGCTTGATTAACAGTCGGTTCTCGTTGGAGTATGTTGTAAGGAACTGTTAATTGCAGCCAGGAATCAGGGAAAGGATTATACAAAGTTAAGTGCAGATAGAATGTTATGTTTAAGCATGAGAAACCTTGTTTCAACAACTGTATTTGTTTGGAAGCCAGACTAAACATGCATCAGGGTATCTAAATCGAATTTCATGTTCATGTTGTTCATTCGCTTCCATTTCCAACCATATGTCATCATGATGTGCGTGTTTACGAAGTAGTCGTCTTCGTGAAGCCGTCGTATCTGTCAACATGCAAGAGAACAGAGTCTGCGAACGGCGAGACTCCGCGCTATTCTCCTGGAGTCATCGGTAGAAAGTCATACTAACTCGCTAACACAGCAGGCACAAACTAGGATGTGGCCCCAGTGCTAGTTTGGTCTGTGCAAAGCTGCTCTTCAAATAGAACAAAGTATATTGCACCTGCTGCGCACTGACGGATATCGTCCAATGATTATGAGAAGATCTGATCTCGAATCTTGCAAGTGGTAAGCATGCACAGTGTCTTCGAGCACGCTGCGGTCGTCCGCTTGAGTGGTATATAGCATGGTCGGCTAGGTATAGGATATTCAATCGTCTTTGCTGATTGAGCTCAAAGCGTGGGCCAACTTGAGGAGCACAACACTTTCTGTCGCGGCAAAGTAGTTCAAGCTGTAGTCACGGATAATCAGTATTCGTTGGTAACCAAATTATCTGTAGTCTGAGCCATTCCATACCTGTCCATTAGAATGCGCAGATGGCGGTTGAAATGGTCCTCGTATCTTTTCAATGTGTCCTCTAATTTGCCAATCCGTGTCGGGTCATAGCCTCTACCATCGGGATTAGACGCCTTGTTCCCGGACAAGTCCACGTCAGCAGACACCAAAGCTCGTGCAAGGGAGGAAGCGGTCCAGGACGCAAACATAGTGCAACAGGTCATCAGCTTCGAATGGATCTGGTTTCGAAGTTAGTTAGCATCCCTCAATCAAGTCCCAGTATGGGACTAACCTTCAGCAGCTTGGCCTGGGTCAGCATGCACTCTTTAAGGCATGTGTCCAGAAAATCCACGTGGTCCTGCATAAGCTCGTCCACTGTCCGATTGACTTGCTTGGTGCCATTGATCGTCACTTCCGACCCATCAGCATCAGTGCCGTTGACTCTGTCCATCAGATTCTGCCAGTTGGGCTCGACAACCTCTGCTGTGCAAAAGTACAGCAGCTGTTGGACAAATACAAGCATCTTGGAGCGCAGACTCCATGCGCGCCTCTTCCACATCTCCAGTCTGCGATCAGAAGACTTGTGCCGCCAGCCAATAACCTTGTTCTGATCCAACCAAGATGTAGTTAGCAGGGTCTCGAGGTGGCGCAGCGAGAGAAGGTGTCGGAATATTAGTTGATATCGAAGGACAGTCTTGCGGCTTATGACGAGTGACAGTGGGAAGGGGACGGAGTAATCGAGTTCCAGTGCATCGAAACCAACAATATCCTTGTCGTCCTCTCCGCCTTGTGTTTGAGGAGCCTGGTATCTCTCGAGGACAGCCTCGGGGTTGTCTTGGTCGATGCCGGAGACGCTCACCACTTGCATCAGCCATTTTGTTAGCCCAATCTTGTTCATCCGCACTTTGACGTCCTCCTTGAAGGGATCAGAAGCTGCAATACTGCCGGGTTGACGTAGTACTAAATCAAGCAGCGATTGAAGTTTGTTCTCATTGACGCTTTTGGCTGGTTTGCGCAGCTCTGACGAGCCAAGCTCAAGAAAGTATGAGAAAAAATCAGAGCGATCGAGAAAGAAGTAGTGCTTGAGAGACCGGAATCGTGTCGTGAGCGAGTTTTTAGTGAGAAGGAGGTTCAGCAGAGACGCATTGGCATAGGTGTAGGCGGCATTAACGTTGTCTAGGAACCGGGGATCATCTAGTGTATGAGGAACGTCCGTCACTTTTTGGCTAATGTCGACACCACCACATTCTCGCACAACATTGAGGTACTTTCCAGCCAGGAGCACCTTATCTTTGACACCTTCAAGCTGGGGAGGCACCTCGTTATCGCGAATGGTATATCGCTTCTCCCAGTATTCGTCTGTGTAGTCTTCTTCCAGCTTTTCTCGCTTGATCCACTTCTGCTCTTTGACAAGGAACTCCGCGTGAGGGTCTTTGATGTCTCCGTGGTGCAGCCACTCATTAAGCATCGCCATGTACGGCCGACTGGCGTCGCGGAGCAGCTTCTCCAGGAGAGTCTTCGTGGCTGGATCGCCGGAGAATGTGGCCAGCCGCTCGGTGAGCAGCCGAAGGACATTGCCTCCTTTGCATATCTTCTTGCTTGACATGGCTCCCGGGATGAGGTCTCCTCCTTCTTTCAACTGCTCTAGAATATTGTCGACATCGTCGAAGTCGTCGATCGACTCATCGATATCCTGATCCAACAGCCCATTGCGTCTCAAGAGTTCTTGTCCGAGAGAGTATAGTTGAGACAAGCATTGGCTTGTTGGCATGGTGTGCAGATGCAGCATATGTAGTGTAAAATTCGAGTGGTTCAGCAGCTGTGTCTCAAGTTGAGCGATGAGGATTAGATAGTCCTTTAATATCCGTCGAATCGTAGCGCACAATGCATGGTTAACGGCTCCGTATTCAGCGCGACTCTGTACTTCCACGAACGACTCCAATGCACTGTAATGCGTCGCCATCTTCAGCATGGAAGAAGTCAGGTCTCTCAGCGTCGGGTCCAGCCCGGACGGCAGTTGAAAAGCCGGACCAGCCAAGCGGTCTTTCTCCGCCCTCGGGTCAAACGTATGATGGTAATGGATATATTGGCCTTCGAATCCCATGAACACAAACAGTAGGTCTTCCAAGATCACTGCCTCCTGCGCGTCGGTGTTAAGTTCGCGAAGGGGTGTGGGATGAAGTGGTTGCGGCAGTGCAGAGGCAAGAGGAGGTACGGATACACGACTGGCTAAAGGTGCGGTCGAATGGGGAATCAACGAGGCTTGCGGCGTCCAAGATTCTGTTGTCTCATAGTCAGCATTGGTCGCAATGCGCGCAAATGATCTCTCTCTACTGACGCTCCGCCGGCTCTTTCTCCTTCTTCCGGGCATTACCAGAAGCCGCACCATCTGTCTGACTAGCCCTCTTCATCCGTAACTTTTCCCAATCTCCTCTATTTCCCGCGCTTGCCGACTCTTTAACTGGATTCCGTGTGCGCACTTGAACCTTTTCTCTCGTGTTGATCGTGGTCCTTTCGGTGCGCTTTTCGCTAGTGGTGATGTTCTGTTGATCTCGGGAAGCTCTGCTCTTTTGACTGGACGCACTGTCACGAAGCTGATCCATATTTTCCGATTGTAATGGGGACGCAGCAGCGCGCAAAGCAGCTTTCTCGGCGTCGACGCGATTTGATGCTACGCGGGGCCGTGATGCACCCATTTGACTGGCGCGACGCTCATTGACGGACATGATCCCGCGAGACAGAGGATATGGTGTCAACCATGTGGCGGAATCAGGACAGATTGAAGCTAAGGCAATTGAACTGTTGATTGAGAAGAGCAATAATAATAAACAAGAACAGACCCAGTTGCTGCCCGCCAAGCATGTACCGTACCGCAGTTTACACTTCCTGATCCGGTAAGGCAGCGGAGTTAAGGTATCAGGCGCAAATGATGCCTTGCAGCCTGAGGCCTTCGCCAACTCTCTGCCAGGCTCCGTCGACTTGCGTAGTTGTTTGAGAGCTTCACCCGAGCTCCAAGACACAGCTTCCACCCACCTCACCAACCACTTGCCGTCCTTCCCAATTTCGTCTCTCTTCTTGATCCGCTTCTATACTGAACCTTTCTTTGCTGAACCCTCTTTTATTACTTCCTACTTCGGAGATAATCAAAGATGTTCATCGCGCGATCGGAATATGGTAAGCTCTATAGCACCTCCTCTCCGATGCGGTCAGCTAACACCAGCTCTGCCAATAGACCGTGGAATCAAGTACGGACCCAAAGTCTCCTCTGTTAGCTCCTTGCCATAATCTCCGGTTCTGATTATCAAATTATCACAGCACCTTCTCCCCCGAAGGGCGTCTGTTCCAGGTCGAATACTCGCTTGAAGCTATCAAACTGGGATCGACAGCGATTGGTGTACGTTCATCCCTCACTAAAGGCTCTCTTAATTGAATTGCTTTTGCTTTTACTGGCGGAGACGGAAGAGTTAGTTTGGTCTTTCCCTAACTTCCCTTCAGGTAGCTACCTCGGAAGGTGTCATTCTAGGAGTGGAGAAGCGTGTCACATCTACGCTTCTCGAAGCGTCGTCCGTCGAAAAGATTGTCGAGATTGACCAGCACATCGGATGTGCCATGTCCGGTTTGCAGGCCGATGCCCGGTCCCTCGTCGAGCACGCCCGCGTTGAGTGTCAGAACCATGCCTTTCACTATGCAGAGCCTCTGAGAGTAGAGAGCACGACCCAAGCGATCTGCGACCTTGCACTGCGATTCGGCGAGACCGGTGATGATGATGAAAGTGTCATGAGCAGGCCTTTTGGCGTTGCCCTATTAATCGCGGGTTACGATGAGGATGGGCCGCAACTGTACGTTGTACACTCGCAGCATCACACAGTCATATGTTCTAAGCCGCCCGTTGGCCGGTTCTGCCGTTGAATTGTACTAATCTGAGTTTACGGTTCAGGTATCACGCCGAGCCATCCGGCACATTTTACAGATATGATGCAAAGGCCATCGGGTCCGGAAGCGAAGGTGCGCAGGCGGAATTACAGAATGAATACCATCGTTCCTTGACACTGCCCGAGGCCGAGACACTGGTATTGAAAACGCTGAAACAGGTTATGGAGGAGAAGTTGGATGCGAAGAATGTCCAGCTGGCTAGCGTTACTAAAGAAAAGGGCTTTCATATCTACAATGACGAGGAGATGGGCCGGGCTGTTGCGCAATTGGGCGGTAATCAATGAGCAAAGATTTAATGGACGAATCTTGAGATTCCCGCTACATATATCAGGAAAACTTACGACGTCCACCGCGGACCGGTGTCTGTTTGACATCTGATAGAGAAGCAATGACACTTTACCATTCTGCGAAAACTCACTCGATTTGTCGTAAACTTGCAGCTGTACAATGAGCTTTCATTGTTATGCAGGAGATTAGCTAAATGGTATTCGTAGTATATACAGCTATTGATGGCTAAATAGACATGTATGCATGTCTCCTACCGAATCTTATAGACACAAGGCTTGAGGACACGTGCCTCTTCCTCAGGAGACATGCCAGCGCCAACATCAGTCGCTTTGTCGATAAATCTTTTCTTGCCGGGTCCTCCTGCTGGAGCGACCGAGGCATATTTGCCCTTAATCGGGGCACCACCTTGTTTAACAAATTCCATCTTCACGAACATTTTGTTCGACTTGTCAACCGATTCCGGTTTGAGGATGAAGCCACGCGTGCGGAACACTTCAATGAAGGCCGAGATATCAGTTTCGTCATCATCGGCCTTACGAGCGTCTTCTGCATAAATATCCGCATCGTCCACATCGGAGCCAGCATCGTCCTCACCCGCTTGCTTCTTCTTGAGTTTTTTCTTCTCGGACTTGCTAAGCGGTTTGCGTGCACCAATCTGAGCTTTCTTGCGGACGACCTTGCCAAAGCGGCTCTTGACTTCACTGACCCAGCATTCGCCCTTGCCATCGCTGCGAAGAACCCGCCACGCTTCTTCCACGAAAGACACCCAGTTGGTGCCCATCAAGCTAAGACAGAAGATAGCCACATCCACGGATCCGTCGGCAATGGGCAGATTAGATATGTCTGCTTTGGTGATGAGTGAGCCTTGTGGGGCATGCAAGTCAAAGTTGAGCAACTTCAGGTTCAATTTCTGCGCTGAGGGTGTCAAAGCCCGCGCGAGCTGGGCATCGCCGCAGCCCAGGTCAGCAATTGTGCAGAGGCCGTTAGGTCTCCGGGCAAGCGGCGGAGCCTGCGCGTTCTTCTTGTGGTCAGGTTTGTTGCCCTTCTTGGAACCTGACGACATGCCTCCTCTCTTGCGGATAGCCGCAATGTAGCCATCAACGGGGTTGGAAGGCCACGACTCTTTGACCTGGCGAGAGAATCCCGCATGGTACTCATCGAAGAGCTCGGGGTTGGAGGTGAACAGTTCAAGGGCCTTGGTAGAGGGTGTTGTATACAGCGTCTCATTCAGATGACGGAAACGGGAAGATATCAACTTCTGCCGCATAGCCTGCTGAAGGGGTGTAAGAATCGCTTCTGTTTTCGGAGGAGCAGGAGGGATAACGGGTTCGCCGGCAGAAGAAGTGGCTTGCTTCTGTTCTTTGGGCTCTTGCTGTTGCTCCTCGGTCTGATTCTTGTTCTTATTCTTCTGCTTCTTCTTCTTCTCCTTCTTCTCCGCCTTATTCCCGACATCCTGAGCACCGCTCGATGTATCCTCTTTGTCCTCGTGGTCATCTTTCCTCATCTGATTCTTCTGCTTTCCTGACGTAGAAGATCCTTCGTTGCCTGGCTTATGCTCCTTCTTTTGTTTCTTGCTAGGTTGTACAGCATTGTTCGCGCCCTGCTTCTGGGATTTCGGGGTGCCCTTGTGACCTTCGATGTGTCGACGGTACATCTCGTCAACATTTGCTTTGGTGACATGGTCATTGCCGCGCTTGCGCTTGTTGGATTTAGCACCTGCTTTCGGCGATCCATTGGTCTGTTGAGACTGGTTTTGAGATTGCGATGCAGGCTCCTGTTGCTTCAGAGCAGAGCTCGGAACGGACCATCCTGGGACGGCAAACATGATTGCATGAGCCAGTCCACGATATCTGCGCAAAGTGAGATATCTGTCGATAAATCTAGAATTATTGATACTGCGCTGACTCAAAACCGTATGCAAGAGCAAGCCGAGCAATTTCCTCTGCCAGTGTCGTTTTCAGGCTAGCGTCCAGCCTCTACCTCTCTACACAAAAAGATGGAAAAAATATCGTTGGCGGTGAGAAGCGACTGGTATTTCTGCTGGTCCAAGCTAAAGGCGGTCAGCCTTGTGTACTCCGTGTCCCGGCCCCTCATGATCAGCAGACAGCAAGAGTGTCAGAATCAAGCTATTTTTAAGCTTGTTCTTGGTCGAGAGCACTCTATATTGGCTCCTTCCTCCATTTCTCTTTTGATCCATCATAACAGGGAGGAGACCTGGGGTTAGTGACTTCCTGTATGCGGAGTCCGAGCCTCGGTCTCTTATTCTGGGCTTATGCAAGATTCGTACTCGTGCAACCAAGAGTGCTCAACTCCCTTGCTCATGATATTTATGCCAGAACCAAGCTAGAAGATGCAATATACCTCAGTTCCAGGCGCATGATTGCCAAGTAAAGCAATTGAACACCCTTGCCAGCAGTCACCATATCCGCAGACTGGATGACTAGCCTGAGGCCTAACAAGGCAGTGAGTGTAACCACCGATTTCAAATTGATCAATAGGCACCACCTCAAGTCAATCGCATATTTTGGCAAATTTCTGAGCCTTATGACCGGCCGTGCTGAAAAGAAAGCATGATTATTATTATTCGAACTGTCCACACCTCAGAACGTCAACACCGCGGCGAGCCGCGGAACCTAAGAAACTAAATAGTAAATAGACTTCAGTGGGGAAGCCTGGGAAATCTGGCCGACGGTTTCAGGCCAATCGAGGGCTGTATCTTTTGTGCTACCACTCCAGTGCTGCCTCTAGTTAGTGGAACTGCATCTCCCCACTCATGCAAACTGTCGTGCCCCCAGGGACTCATATTAGAAGTATCTCCTCTCTTCTATCCCTTTTTCACTCCCTAAATCAGTTTCTCGACCTCATCGGCCCACGCTGCCTCTCGGTTATGGAAACAGCCTCACCTCGGCACAAAGTATATCGTTATGGGGGAGACAACAGCTTTCGAGGGCCCTCAACGGGAGCCATTGACCAATGATTCAGACGCAAATCGGGTCGCAGATATATCAGCTGCGGCTGCAGAACCAGAGGCTGAAACTGAACCGAAGAGCACATCTGCACAGAAAGTCCCTAAGAAACGCACCAAAACAGGTTGTCTTAGTACGTTCAAAATGTGAATGGTGGTGGCGAGGTCCACAACAGTCATTGACCGTTGAAATTTAGCCTGTCGACAACGTCGCATCAAGTGCGGAGAAGAGAAGCCCATATGCAACAATTGTATCAAATCAAAACGAGAATGCAAGGGCTATATTCAGCGTGTCATCTTCAAAAATCCCATCGGCATATTCGGAGCCTATAACGCTAACCAAGCTCTCAATGCCCCGATGCAGCCAACGCCCTCGGGAGCCCCGCTCCCAACTGGATATTATAATCAGGAGCTCTCTCAGCTGAGACAGGCTGGCTCCAACAGGCCGTTGTTGGCGCCGAGGCCGTTCCCACTAGCAGCCACGGGACAGTCTACTTTTAACGCAACTGGTAGTGCAGGAGTACAAGAAACTTACATGGATCCATTGCGACCTCGACCGCAGCAGTATGAAGCACCTCTTGTCTCCGTTCCCAGCGCACCCGGAACTGAAGAGGCTCCAACATTGCCGGTTGAATTTCCGCAGCTCCAACTAGATATACAAAATCAAGACCATTTGCGACATGGAACAGGTGCGCCAACTTACAATGTCGTTCCAACAGCAGATCAGCAGTTTCCGCCTCAGCAGGCTTCAACGTGGCCTGAACCTCCAGTGCCGGTCATGAATCCGCAAGGGACATCGATGGACCCTACCCTAGCATTTGTAACTGCACAAACTCCCCAGGTATGTGACCACATCTTAATCGGGCTCGTCACTTCCTACTAAACATTGTACCAGAAGTTGTATCAAGCTGGCCCAGCAACCACAACCGCGTTCGCTTCCGGTACGCGACAGGAACGACAATCAGTGCATGAACCTACGGCCATCCCGCTGATGACATCTTCAAACGAATTCATCTACGTGGACGACGAAAGCGAAGAATACTATGATGTTGAATCTGATGAAGAAATGGAGGAGCAAACATCGGCCGAAGACTTCAACCAACTCAGCCTCATTGTGGCCTCTGCAAATCAAGATGAACGGCAGCTGCGGTCTTTCACGACCTACCTGAACGAACCCAACATGCTTGCTTCTTATCGCCCTACGCTTGGCTCGTCTCCCTTGAATAACCCAAAAACGGCTCGAATATTTGTCCACTTTATCCATTCAACTGGCCCGTCTTTATCAATCTTCGAGCGACATCCTGCAGATTCTGCACACACGCTTGGCTCACCTGTGCCAGCAGCTCAGCAAGGCCTGTGGACACATACAATGCCTCTCAAGGCATTAGAGCACCAAGCATTGCTTCAAGCCATACTTGCTCTCAGCAGCTTACATATCTCGTATCTGCAACAAGCGCCCCCGACTGTTTCGTTGAAGCACTATCATTATGCGCTCAAGAGAGTCGGTCATGCGGTAGGTCTGCCCCAAAGGCGCAAACAGGTTGGCACCCTGGCTGCTACACTCCTGTTGGCATATTACGAAGTGATGACTGCCGAGCATTCGAAGTGGAACAGCCATGTCGCAGGATCGGCTCAGTTGGTACGTGAGATTGACTTTGCCACTCTCACACGTGATATTCGATCTCACCGGCGGAGGGTGTGGGCTCAACGGCAGCGAATGTTGGAAGCCCAGTCGGCTTATGCGGCTTACTATGCGTTCGACGAAGGGTTTTTGGAGGATGACCCATTCGCTGAGAAAGAAAGCAGCATTGACGAGAATTTCATAGGATCTCTTCTAGGTCGAGCGGTTAATTTTGATCAGTTTGGCCAGATAGAGGATGGGCGTATTCGCTCGCGCGAAAGACATTTCACCCGGAAAGACATTGAGACCTACAGAATCCAATGTGATCTCTATTGGTGGTACTGCAAACAAGACATGATCCAGGCCTTCATCGGGGGCGGCGGACTTATGTTAGTGACTGCCCTCTTTTG